TTCAGCGCCCATATCCAACACATAACCAAAAAATGTATCCAAAACGGTTGGGATCCTCTCCAAGATACGATACTACATGCCGCAAAATGCCCTTCTCACACTATACCACTCACTTATTTATCCATACCTCACCTATGCTATTTGTGCTTGGGGATCAACTGCAGCAACACACCTAAAGCCAATAATAACCCAACAAAAAGCCCCCAGTAAGAATAATCACTAAATCCCATCCCTGGCAACCCACCCCCCCACTCTTCATAGATCTAAACTTACCCCTGTTCCAGTACATCCACACTTACACTGTGAAACCCTTTAAAATTTCCCAATATTACCTTGACCTAAAAACGCTTTCTTGATAGTTGTGATAGAACCACAGGCATAGCACCAGACACAAACATCTCTGTGACATTCCCCGTGCCCGGGACTAAACCTTTACAAAAAAATCAATGTATGTCAAAGGCCCTAAAATCTGGAACACCCTACCTGAAAACTCTAGAACTGCGGACACATTCATCACCTTCAAAACTACCATTAGAAAACTTTCTTATCCCCCTGATACACCCCGTCAATAATTACACGAATACCACCTGGTGGTTCACACTTACACTCACTCCCCCCATTTGACCATAAACAGAAATATCAATCTCAATCTTAAAATAATGAATCCTAACTAGTCATAAGTTGGCCTGTGATACTCCAATACTGAAACTATGTATTGTGCCAAAACAAAAGCATTCACATTGCTAAACTCACAAACTAGTATTTAGTCACTTAGCCATAATACCAACTTACCTCATAATTTGTAATATTTTAAATTTAAGAATTAATCTAAGTCTGCCCGAAATGCCTAGCCATGCTAGGTGTTCTAGTGGTACACTCTGTAATCATTATTTTACTACATGTAAACCACACAATAACCAAATTCTGTAAACTCAGCATTGTAATACTTATAGAGAATAAACTTTGAATTGAATTGAATCTTGACCTCGTACCCATTCTGGCAGTTCACTGCCCTTTCTGTGAATGAATGCAATATAACTTCTTACAATACTGGTCTTTTGTAGTTTTCTCTTGTTATAATTATGATACAAGAAGCCCCGCTTGTACAGAATCGATTTTTCGATGTTCCACGTTTTCACTGGCTCTTAAATGAGTCATTGTTCCACCCACCGGGGACAGTCGCCGGCGGATGGAACATAATGAAGAATAGCACAATTTGAAGCCAACGAGAATGTGGAACAACGAAAAGACGATGCTGTGTATGCCGGGCCTAAATCTGTGTAACTGTACTTGTGTGTACCTAAATAAACTTACTCCAAGATGGGCCTCAAATATGTCGTATATATGAACATGATTGACTTCTGAGGTTCTCCATCTACCATGCGAGCACAAGATGTACAAAATATTTAGCAACACCAACAGAGCACCTATAAGTAATTAATAAGTTTTTTTCCTTCCTCCTCGTTTATAACTCGAGAACTCCTAATCCGATCGGCTTCCAATTTTTATGTCTGATTTAATATAACCAGGGAAAGGTTCGTGGAACTATTGGCATGTGCAGGTCCCTCTGGTTAGACATTTCCAAATGATTGGAATCTGCATGATAAATTTAGAGAGCCTCTTCTGATTGGCTTCAAATATTAAGTGTGTCCCACTCAAAGATTATGATTGTTATCTAAGTGTGTAGCTGCTGATTTGCCAGTCATATTTTTAAAATGGCTGAATGTCTCTTTTGATCAGCTTCAAGATATAAACACAATGTACATGATCACACGGGAGTACATGGGAAAGGCAGATATTAGAGGACATGGAAGTCCATACTAAGATTATCTGTTGACATCTGTCTATTTCTACCTAGATTATGGATTGTGTATTCTCTAGATGTACTTACCTAATTATGCTTGCCTAATTGTGGTTGCAAGGGTCGATTCATAATACCTGGCCCCGTCTCTTCACTGGTCGCCTGTGTGTGTGTGTGTGTGTGTGTGTGTGTGTGTGTGTGTGTGTGTGTATGTACATGTCAAAAATAGAAAAGCAGAAGGCTTTCTGCTCTCCATTCCATCCGGCCACTGCCGACACAAAAGCTGAGAAAAAACGAGCGTTCAGAAGTACAAAGACATAATCACAAGCATTCAAAAGTGTGAAGATGCCTACATAAGCGTTCAAAAGCACAAAGGCATCCTCATGAGAATTTAAAAGCGCAATAATGCCCTCAGAAGCATTCAGAAGTGTGAAGATGCCCTCATGAGCGTTTAAAAGCGCAAAGACGTCCTCACATGAGTTGGAAAGTGCAAAGACGCCCTCAGAATCTTTCAGAGACGAAGATTCCTAGAATCGCACTCACACCCGTGAACATTTCTCCTCAAGGTCGATTAGAAGAGTAAATAGCACCTCAGGCATCAGTTTCTCGCCTGCTTGGGAAACAGTTTCATAAGCCTGACCTGGTCTGGAACATGATTCCTGGTCTAGGACTGGATCGCAGGGGGTGGTGAGGCCCAGAATGAACTTAGGACAACCTTCAGGCAACATTTGACTCACCCACTTGTAGTGTGTAACCTGACAATGAAAATTTCACTTTTATTGGGGAAAGAAATGATAATACTGGAAGAGTGATAAGAATGAATGGGGGAGTGTCGGTACTCAGGGATGAGATTATCTTCGGGTGAAATTCAACTCCAAATTGACTGTGGAGAACCACATTGTAAATCTTGTAAAGCTGCCAGGAAGCTTACAGCACTTAGAGATATCTTGCATCTGCTCGACAGTAGAAGTTGTAAGACTGTACAAGGCACAAGTGAGCACACACCTTAATTATGCTCCACTGTCTTGGACTGCCTACTTCCTTTCTCATCTGCGACTTCTTGACAAAATAGAGAACAAAGCAAGGCGACTCATCTCTAGCCTGGACCTGGCCTGGACAAATTTGTCATTTAAGCAGAGCCTTCAATAATGGAGGGTGTGGAGATCTTATTGTTAAGTACAAGGCCAATGTTGTCAAGTTATCACACTGGGCTCCACTTCATGATCATTGAGAAATGAGCTTCTACACAACAAGATGGGCAGCAAACAGCAATTACACTCTTGCTGTACTCTTCTCATAAACATCACTTCATCTGAAATCATCTCTTCCTAGAATGACGTAAGCCTCTAACATCTTTGTACAGCATAATGACATCAACGAAATAAAGTCAGCTGATTAAAAGAAATCACTGGCCCAAAAAGGCTCTATAATGAGCTGATATAGGTAACAGTTCTTAGCTTGTAAGGTTAGAAACCCTTAACCTTGTAAAACCCTTGTCTAAAAGAGAGAGAGAGAGAGAGAGAGAGGGGGGAGGGAGAATAGAGTAGACAGATGGTAAGCAACAGTGTAGACAAGAAGTCAGTACACATTCAGTCATAATAAACAGTGTGTGAGAGAGAGAGCAACAAATTACTCAACTATCATCATTTTTGAAAATTATTATTATGTGAGTAAATTACCTGCACGAGGCTTACAGGGCATTACATGAATGATTACCTGCAAGTAATCTGGGTGAGGTAAGTGAGACTGAGTCACAGTAGGTCGCTGAACTGCAGCTCTTTCAACTGCCCACTTCTTCACCACTCTCACAAAAAGCTAGACATGACATTAAATTAATAATTATAATATTAAGACCAGCTACTCGGGTAAAATTTAATTTGTGTAGACTGCATATGACCAGGGTTGCTGGGTACACAAAATATAATTATACATAAATTATTAGTGCTATTAAAAATGATATTCTTATTAAAAATTACCATTTAATTACTGTAGATGGATCACACCACAACACCTGCCTAACACCTAGACCTAACACTGGCCAGCTAAGATCTAAATGCAAGAGCTAATGGTGTACTTCCCTGTGAGTGATGTTCCCTTATCTTCCGACATTCACTCATAATTCTTGAGATCCCGAAAAATCTTCCTGTCCCAATTCTTCATCAGGAGACATTAACACGGGTTCCTATTAAAAATTCAGGCCAAAACACACCAAACTGGCCTCGGAAAATGCCATATTTCATTGCACCATGCAGTCCAGTGTTCGCACATTAAATTCAATATGGCGACCCTCCCCGGCGTCACTCAGCAGCTGTTCTACACCCCCGTCACTAGAAATTTCTCGAAAGGATCAAATCAGCATCACATTTTATTACACAATTATTGTAGTATTCGAATTTACCCGTGCTGAATTTAGGAAAATCCAAAATTTTCCACAATCATCCCCTGCACTACACTAGTTACCATAGTTTGTTCCACACCAGAAATTGTTCTTAAACCTTCAGCCTGACTCTATATCACTTTCTGATCGAATTATTATTATTATTATTATTATTATTATTATTATTATTATTATTATTATTATTATTATTTTAGCTGTTAAGAATCATATAGTAATTTTCAAAAGCTTGTTCATATATAAATGTTAAAATGTTCATTGCAGTTTCAAATCTTTGATTTTTTCACATAAAGCTTATTTTATTATTATTCATTTTTTTTCAGATGACAAGATAAATTTTTATGTTATAAAATTAAGATGGACATAGATCCCGGTTTATTTCAAGGCTTCAAATATTCATTAAGTTTATAAATGGGACTTACTCTCGTTTGTTATAAAACTATCTCTCTCTCTCTCTCTCTCTCTCTCTCTCTCTCTCTCTCTCTCTCTCTCTCTCTCTCTCTCTCTCTCTCTCTCTCTCTCTCTCTCTCTCTCTCTCTCTCTCTCTCTCTCTCTGTCTCTCTGTCCCCTCTGTCTCTCTGTCTCTCTGTCTCTCTGTCTCTCTGTCTCTCTCTCTCTCTCTCTTTCTTTCTCTTTCTTCTTTTCTCTCTCTCTCTTTCTCTCTCTCTTTCTCTCCTCCCACAACTTTTTTATTCACTATAAATATAGTTTCCCTGCTATTGTTTGAATTTGTTAATTTATTATATATTGTTTGTGCCTTGTTTCATATATTCAGTTTGGACATTGTTTGTTTTTTTTTTGCAGTCCTTTGGCTCTGGAGAAGGAAGAAGTGATATTAACATAATGGATGACTTCCTGGTGAGTACATCACCCGTTGCTCCACTCATCTAACAACTACTCATCCCTAAACTATTCTCCTTAATTAACCTTACCCTAAGCTACGTGTGGAGTGGTGGAGGCTCGATCCTCCGCACAGTTAAGTGCAAGATGCACCATACGTTTTTACATAGGTTTACCTAACCCATACCAACCTAACTTAGCCACACTAACATAACATAAATAGTTAATTTAAAATAGAGAAAACAGATTTTGGGAAAATATAGGAAGAGTTATGAGAGTGACTTTCCGCGCCAGGTAAATGTTGAGCGCAGTAACATGTATGGCTGTTGTCGGGTTTTGAGTAGCTCTTGTCGGGGAGGGGAAACCTCCCCTCCAAAACCCCTCACCTCCAATACCCTTCACCTCCAAGACCTCTCACCTCCAAGACCTCTCACCTCCAAGATCCTTTACCTCAAAGATCCTTTACCTCCAAGACCCTCACCTCCAAGACTCCCTCCAAGACCCTCACCTCCAAGACCCCCATCCAAGACTCCTCCCAGGAGAGGTACACAAAGCAAGGGGAAGGTGCATGATATTCACAGGATGGGTGTGGGGTGCATAATAAACATATTAAACTAATATGGACAACAATTTCCTGACTCATAATTCACTGTCGAGAGACCAAGGTCATGGACCGGGCCGCGGGGGCCTGGACCCCAGGAACACTCTTCAGGTATAATCCAGGTAGGCCTATCTTTTAATGACATACCAAAGTTTAAGGTATATTTTTTATATTAATGCCTGTATTCCTCTCCCAGTACAGGACTTCTGGTGCCCAAAAAAAAGTTGACATTAATAACCTAAATGCAAGGTTGCCGTGTCAACAGTGATTCCATCTGTGTTTCATGTTTATATATATATATATATATATATATATATATATATATATATATATATATATATATATATATATATATAAAACAACACTGCGACTAGCCGAGGATTTGAACCCATGTCGTTTTGGCCCACCTCATGGTAAGCAAAATTTACATGATGCTCCAACCTACAAGACCATGTATTCCTACAAGAATCAAGGACCCAGCAGAGCTAGATGTTTTACCTTGATCCGAGGACATACGGTAGTGTGGGTACATCTGAGCTAATTTCATTCTAATTCCCATTTGGTGTACTAACCTTCATGAGCAGTATTTTATATTATAGTAACCACGACCAAGTGGTACTGAATCAATAACAACACTGCTCGTGAAGGCTAGTACACCAAACAGGGATTACAATGAAATTAACTCGGATCCACCCACACCACCGTATGTCCTAGAATCAAGGTAAAACACCTAGCTCTGCTGGGTGCTTGATTCTTGTAGGATTGTGTGGTCCCAAGAGCTAGAGCATCATGTGATTTTTGCTCACCACGAGGTCATCCAAAACAACATGGATTCGAATCCTCGGCTAGTCGCAGAGTTGTTATTTGTTCAATCTTTGAAAAATTAAGTCATAGGCAGATCTATTCCTACCTCGTCTCCCACAACATACTCAGCCCCTGTCAGTTTGGATTCAGGCCCAATAAAAACATGAATGACGCTATTATACACATGCTAGAACTCATATACACAGCTCTCGAGAAAAAAGAAGTCCCATTGGGAATCTTCATTGATTTACATAAAGCTTTTTGAGCCCACGGAAGTCACCGAGATTATAAAGTCACTTAAAAATAACTCAGGGAATCTGTCTCATGTCCCACCATTATTGTACAAGAGAGCGGCCCATGTCCTCTCTCATACTATCTCATTGCTTTTTACAAGTCACTAGAAGCTAGCACCTTCCCGAAACTACTCAAGACGGCAAGGGTTACACCAATACATAAAGGTGGTGACCCTACAGATTTAAACAACTATAGGCCAATATCAAACTTACCATTGCTATCCAAAATCTTTGAGAAACTCGTGCACAGGAGACTATATTCATTTATAACGTCACAAAACATACTCAACCCCTGCCAATTTGGATTCAGGAAAAATAAAAGCACTAACGATGCAATTATAAAAATGCTAGATCTGCTTTACACAGCATTGGAAAATAAGGAATATCCACTAGGAATTTTTATTGACCTAAGAAAAGCTTTTGACACAGACCACGGCATCCTACTCCACAAACTTTACCATTATGGTATAAGAGGCCATGCGCTTGCATATTTCAAATCTTACCTTACTAATAGGTATCAGTATGTCACCATTAAAGACACAGCATCAACAACACAGCCACTTGATACTGGAGTTCCGCAGGGAAGTGTCCTTGGTCCCCTGCTCTTCCTCATATACATCAATGATCTTCCAAACGTATCTCGACACCTGAACCCCATTCTCTTTGCTGACGACACGACTTACGTCATCTCTCACCCTAATCTTGCAACCCTCAACACCATTGTTAATGAGGAGCTGATCAAAATATCGACTTGGATGACAGCCAATAAACTTATGCTTAACGTTGACAAAACCTACTACATGTTTGGTAGCAGAGCAGGAGATGCGCAAATTAACATTAAGATCGACAACACTCTAATTACCAGGCATAATGAGGGCAAATTCCTAGGCCTGTACCTCGACAACAACCTGAACTTCAGCACCCATATCCAACACATAACCAAAAAAGTATCCAAAACGGTTGGGATCCTCTCCAAGATACGATACTACGTGCCGCAAACTGCCCTTCTCACACTATACCATTCACTTATATATCCATACCTCACCTATGCTATCTGTTCTTGGGGATCAACTGCAGCAACACACCTAAAGCCAGTAATAACCCAACAAAAAGCCGCAGTAAGAATAATCACTAAATCCCATCCCTGGCAACACACCCCCCCACTCTTCATAGATCTAAACTTACTCCCTGTTCAGTACATCCACACTTACTACTGTGCAATCTACATCTACAGGACCTTAAATTCCAATATTAACCTTGACCTAAAACGCTTTCTTGAAAAGTTGTGACAGAACCCACAGGCACAACACCAGACACAAACATCTCTATGACATTCCCGTGTCCGACTAAACCTTTACAAAAATTCAATGTATGTCAAAGGCCCTAAAATCTGGAACACCCTACCTGAAAATTCCAAAACTGCAGACACATTCATCACCTTCAAAACTACCATCAGAAAACATCTTATCTCCCTGATACAGCCTGTTTAACTAATAATACGAATACCACCTGGTGGTTCACACTTACACTCACTCACCCATTTGACCATAAACACAAATATCAATCTCAATCTCAAAATAATGAATCTTAACTAGTCATAAGTTGGCCTGTGATACTCCAATACTGAAACTATGTATAGTGCCAAAACAAAAGCATTCACATTGCTAAACTCACAACTAGTATTTAGTCACTTAGCCATAATACCAACTTATCTCATAATTCTGTAACATTTTAAACCTAAGATTTAATATAAGTCTGCCCGAAATGCCTAGCCATGCTAGGCGTTCTAGTGGTACACTCTGTAATTATTATTTTACTACATGTAAACCACACAATAACCAAATTCTGTAAACTCAGCATTGTAATACTTATAGAGAATAAAGTTTGAAGTTGACCATGATTTGTTGCACATAAAATTAACACACTATGGTATAAGAGGGCACTCCCTCAATTACCTACAGTCATAACTTCGCAACAAAAGCCAGTATGTGTACACAAATGGAGCTAACTCTTCCACACAACCAATTACAGTCGTCATCCCGCAGGGAAGTGACCTTGGCCCACTTCTCTTTCTCATTTACATCAATGACCTGCCAAATGCATCTCAACTACTCAGACCCATATTATTTGCCGATGACACTACATACATCTTCTCTTCCCCAAGCCCAGTCATACTAGCCAACACTGTAAATGCTGAATTACAGAAAATGTCTACCTGGATGAAGACTAACAAGTTTACTCTCAGCATTAACAAAACCTATTTCATTCAGTTTGGAAAAAGAGCTATAAATGTTCCACTTAACATAATGATAAATGGATCACCTGTCACAAGACTCACAGAGGAAAAATTCTTAGGAGTCCACCTTTACAATAGCCTCAAATTTCAGACACACATACAACGAATCTCCAAGAAAATCTCTAAGACCGTAGGCATATTATCAAAAATACGGAACTATGTTCCACAACCAGCTCTCCTTGCCCTCTATCACTCATTTACGCTTATCTCACCTATGGAATTCATATGGTTCAACAACAATAAACCATCTCAGACCACTAATAACATAGCAAAAGGCTGCAGTCAGAATGATGATAAATTCCCACTCCAGACATCATACTCCATCAATATTCAAAAGTGTAAACCTACTCACCATAGAGAACATCCATACCTATTATTGTGCCTAATACATAGAACACTACACTCAAACCCTCAACTCAAACTTCTCCTTACCAATCTTAACAGGACACACGACCATAACACAAGGCACAGATCACTCCTTGAAGTTCCTGTGTCCATCTCACACTATGTAAAAAAAACTATGCACATAAAGGGCCCAAAAATTTGGAATTCATTACCAATGAATACCATAGGAACCCAGTCTGTACATAATTCAAGACTCTTCGTAAAAAGCACCCACTCACCCAAAACTAAATATTCAGCACTTAACCTTACCAATAAAGCTACCAAATCACTCTCCACTGCTTCAAATTATAATTCCTCACTGTGTTACTTCCCTAGCCTCAGAACCCCAAAAGTAAATGCTCAGAGTATAATAAATTCTCTTATTTTAATGCGAATGTTGAATAACATATATTTGACACAAGTATAACTTTTTGTATAATTAGTGCAACCTGATCAAACTATGTTTTTACGTATAGCGTTAAGTAATGTTAAGTTTTGACTGCCCGTAATGCCAAGGCATGATAGTGGCTCTGTCTACACTACAAATTGTAATTCTTCACAGACAGAGTCAAACTGTCTGTTTTCTCATCAATGTTTTTGAGAGCTTTACGAATTTGTAGTCCTGAGTTCATAGATGAGG